TACGGTATGGGATTAGCTCACTACTCCAAACACTGAACCACTCACACTGTAACTGCTGTGATTTTGAGACCCTGACAGTTTGGCAGGCTGGCAGTGCTAACAGTGCATTACAGTGATCAGAATCTATCACTGCAGGGGCACTCAGCCTCCTAGTTAGAGATTTTTAAAAAATTTTTTATTTTTATTGTGGCACATGCCTTTAATCCCAGCACTTGGGAGGCAGAGGCAGGTGGATTTCTGAGTTCAAGTCCAGCCTGGTCTACAGAGTGAGCTCCAGGATAGCCAGGGCTACACAGAGAAACCCTGTCTTGAAAAACCAAAAGAATAAAAAAAGAAAATTTTTTTTTATTGAGGTAGGATAATAATCATCCTGACAAATATTATTCTAATATATTTCTAGCACTATTATTTGGGCATAGTATATTCTACACTATAAAAATGTTTGTAAATGGCAGATAAATTTCTAGAAATGTACTATATATTTAATATATATATATATATATATGTGTGTGTGTGTGTGTGTGTGTGTGTGTGTGTGTACAATCAAGGTTGCTGTATAACATCATATGGTGAATTAAATGAATACAAGAAATGGATCCCATATGTTCTATTATGTTTTGAATTTTGTTTTTTTACACATATTTATTATTATAAACTGTGTAATACTTCCTACCATTTTTTGTTTAATATTTAAGTACACTCAATTGTTAAACCAAACCAAACCAAAACCAAACAAATAATCCAAACCAAACGACAACAAAACTCACAAACCTATTTTTGCAGAAATTAATTCTTGGAGTGGGAATATAGTTCCATATTAGAGCACTTGCCTGGCATGCTCAAAGTTCTGAGTTTGATCCCTAGCACTGCAAATTGATTAATGAAAAAAGCTAAATTCTAAGAAGTGCAAAACTATACACATGCTCTCATATTTTGTATCAACTTCCAAACCTGGGCTCTAAATACTTAAGTATTTCTGGATTTTCCTTGAAGAATTTTTTTTTTATTTTTAAGTGTGTGTGTGTGTGTGTGTGTGTGTGTGAGAGAGAGAGAGAGAGAGAGAGAGAGAGACAGAGACAGAGACAGAGACAGAGAGAGACAGAGACAGAGACAGAGACAGAGAGACAGAGACAGAGACAGAGAGAGA